GCGCTCCTGACGCCCCGAACGCAAACCCGTCCTCGCGCCCCGAGGGCGTCCGCCTCGGCCTCGGCCTCCGTGGAAAAGTCACGCTGCACTGACAAGACTGTGCTGTTCAGACGCGAGGATTTGGTAGATATTTTCTTTTAAAAAGTGAATGAAGTAAACCTGGCGCTTCAGGGACAACTGAAAGCATTTTGAGAAATAAAGCTGTAGCCCTAGCGCTTTCCAATAGAAACCAGAACTTTGGAGCATTGTATCTGCCACCATGCGCTTCGTTTCCCAACACTCAGGACTGCTCTCCTGATCGGGGCGGTGACGGGGAATGTGTTTTGGAAATTGTGTGAAATGTGTCCACACTTGGGAGATCGGCATAACAGTGATCCAGTTTTTACAAAAACCCAACGTCTGGTGTAAGGAACTGTGCATGGGGAAGAGCCGTGCGAAATGCAGGGTCGCCCAAAGGATTTTAATTCCCTCGTAGACTCAGCGTTCACCTTGAACTGACCCTCACAAACCGACGAGCGGGCATATTTGATGTAATGTCAGAGGAGGGTACCTGCAGTCAACAGAAAACCTACACTACGCGCCTCCTTTCCAGGCACATGTCCACGTGAGGCTGGACTTCCTCACACCCCTCAGCACTGCCCAGGGGCCACAGGGGCAGCCGTGTGTTGCCACCGTCCTCCGTTAAGCCAGGTGTTAAAGAGATTTGCAAAAATGTAAACAAAATCCTGAGATTAGAATCCTGGGAGAACCACCAAATACGACCAGCACAGATAATTTCAAGATCAACCTCACCCCACAGCTCTGTCACCACTCGCAAGTCAAGACTTGCATGGTCTTGAAGTCCAGCAGTATAAATCCTTTGGTGCTTTATCTAACCCCCTGCCCCCATGATGTATTTTATTTATTTTTTCTTTGTGCTTTTTCAAAGTTGTTTTGCTGACCCTCTGTCCTTTGCATTTTCATATGCATTTTAGAATCAGATTGCCGATTCCTATTGTTTTTAATCCCTCTAGGATGATGACTGAAATGGCATCGACTCTACAGATCAATCCGAGAAAATCTGACATCTTAATATTCAATCTCCTAATCCATGGACAAGTGCACTTACCTTACACTTTTTTTCATTGAGAAAATTCATGCACCAGGTGAGGACACATGAGAAGGGCCTGGCTGTTAACCAGGAAGAGGCCCTTACCTGGCAAGGCTGGCATCTTGTTCTTGGCCTTCCCTGGCTCCAAAGCTGCGAGAAAGAAATGCCTGTTGTTTGTGAGCTGCCCGGCTATGGTGCCCAGTTATCGCAGCCCCGATGGGTGAATACAGGTCCTCAGTGCACACTCCCTGCCCTCGGTCACCATCATGGGCTCTTACCCTTTTTAGTTTTCTTAGTCTTGGAATCCTGAGGGAAGAACCACCAGATAAGCCGCTCACAGAGTGGGGGGGTGCAGATTCTAGTGCATCTCGTGGGCAGCGCCCCTCTGCCAGGCCTCTCCTGGCACGGAGGCGGGGCAGGGTCTCCTAGGGAGGAGGGGGCCACCTGCCCCCTTGCCCCACGACCCCACTGGCCGTCTGATGCCTCCTGGGGCCTTGCCAACGCTGGGGCTTCTTGAGGGGGCTTGGGGCCTCCTCCCCCAGTCTCCACCCCTACCCTCCCACAACCTGGCCCCACGGGCCTTGCTCCCCAGCACTATTTCTGTGGGGAGGGTGTGGCAGGGGCCCACGGTACCCTGAGAAATGTCAGCCTGTCGGATTCCAAGGTGCGGATCACCCCAAACATGCACAGGGTAGACACGAGTGGGTCCCCCGCCAGCAGGGGCTCCAGGACCACCAGGCCGCTGCCTAGCACCCGCAGGATGGGGGGGTCCTGGCGAAACTCCTTAGAGATCCCTCTCTTCTTCTTGGTCCCCTTCTGTTCCTGGGGGGGGAGGCTGGGAGGGTGACAGGGCCCGGCCGGGATGTGCCCAGTGCCCATGGCCACTGCACAGGGCCTGGGGTACCTTCTTCTCTTTCTCCCCTTTGGTGGCCTTGTCTTTCCCATCTTTCCCTTTCTTGTCTTTCTCCTCTTTCTCTTTCTCTTCTTTCTCTTTCTTCTCTTTCTCTTTCTCCCCTTTCTCTTTCTCCCCTTTTCCCTTGGTAGGCGAGAAACTGTCCACAGGAGGTGGCACCACGGGCCAGGAGAGAATCTAGGGGACAGCAAGGCGGCCACGCTGGGGCCGGATGGAGTCTTTCTGGAAAGGAGCTGAGACCACGCAAACAGGGGAGCTGGGCCGGACAGAAAATGCCCAGGAAGGGGCACCGGCCTCCGGGGGAACCCCACCTTCTCCTCCACGATGGTCACGGTTGTCCCCGCCAGCAGGAAGGCCTTGAGCGGCACCAGGTCCCGGATCGTGTGCTGCATCTCATAGTTGCAGGGGATGACGTCAGCCCAGGGCCTGCGGACGGTGCTGAAGAGGACTGTCCTGTGTGTGGGGGGGGGGACACCCAGGCGTCATCGCGGGCCAGGTACAAGGCTGCCGGCACCGCAAGGAGATGGCGTGGGGCGTGGGGTGACGCCCACGAGGCAAGCGGGGGGGCCAAGAGCAGGAAGGGACCGGCACCGTGAGGAAGTGGGGGCGCACTCTGCATGGGGGCTTCCCTTAAGGGGTGACTGTGGATGGAAGGAAACCAGGAACGAAGCAGAACTTTTAAAAACTTCAGCAAATCCTGGGCCAGCCTGGCTCAGTGGCTGAGCATCAACCTATGAACCAGGAGGTCACGGATCGATTCCCAGTCAGGGCACAGGCCTGGGCTGCAGGCTCGATCCCCAGTGTGGGGCCTGCAGGAGGCAGCCGATTGGTGGTTCTCTCTCATCACTGATGTTTTTCTCTCCCTTCCTCTCTCTTAAATCAATAAAACATATATGTGTGTACACACACATACACACACACACATATATATGATAAAGTTATGGACTGAAATACAGTAGAAGTTAAGTCAAATGAAGCAGTTCAGCCCAGAGCTTGAAACTGTGTGAGGTAACTGTGCAAAGACACCTGTCAGAAGGGAAATGTAGAAATGGAGGAAAGGTGGCGATAACTGATCTTAAAGATTAGTGCTACGGACAGACAGACTGACAAACGTCAACCGTACTCCCAGGGAACCCATTCATCAGCGCTGGAACCGAACGTGCGCGCCCACTCCTCCTGCTAAAACCCTGCGAGCGCCAGCGGCAGGACAACACGAGAGCCGCTGGAAGCAGCAGCCACCTCCCCAACGCCAGTCTGCGGCCCCTCCTGGGCAGCGGCCGCCAGTTGCCGGGAGCCGGTCCATCCTTGCTGTTTCAAGGGACCTGGCATATATGGCAAACTGTTCTTAATATGCTTTCTCACCTTCTTGGCGCTATGTGTTTTAACCAAGGTCACCTCTCTGAGAAAGGTTGTTTCCCCAGGTAGGGATTTTCCCCTGAAGTTAGGGAGGGAATAAAACCCCTTAACT